GGTGCTGACCAAGCACACTCGAGCTCTCTTGCATCAACACATCTCCAAAACCAATATCAGAAGCATCCATGTGCAAAATAAAAGGTCAAGTGTAGTCAGGATATGCCAAAACCGGAGGAGTCGTTAATAGCTCTTTGAGATCCTTAAACATCTGCTCATAATCTGGAGACCATGTGAAAGATGATATTGATGACTTCAGCAACGTGTAAGGAACCGACTCCCCGAGATATCGTAGGCTAAAGATCCCCGAAAGCATGACCGAAATGACAAAAAGAGTTCATTGGATGGGACCGAGTTGAAGATCGAGTCCAAGACCGACTCAGAGACCGAGTTCGAGATAGAGTCCGGGATCGAGCCGAGGCCGAATCGGAGACCGAGTTCGAGACCGAGTTCGAGACAAAGTCTGAGATCCAAATCGGGTCCAAGACGGAGTCCGAGGTCGAGTCCGAAGTCGAGTCCGAGATCGGGTCCGAGATCGAGTCTGAAATTGAGTCTGAGACCGAGTCCGAAGTCGGGTCCGAGATCGAGTCCGAGATCGATTCTGAGACTAAGTCCAAATACTAATATAGCTCAAGGGGTGAAAGCCCAAAGTGTGCATCTCCCAGGGGGGGAGGGGGGGGGGCTGCAGGGGGTTCCAAAAGTATAGTAGGGATAGTGAGGTCTAGGAACCATTCTTGAAGGAACTCTCCAGTAGTGCTTCCAAACTGACTTGAGGTTGAGATTGGGGCCGAGGGGCCTTGGGTGGGAGTGAGCATGGGCTTGGGTGGTGCCGGAGGGGCCACCCAGGGAAGTGCTCAAGAGCAGCTCCCACTCCCGAAAGGGAAACCGACTAAGGTGCTCCCGGCTCATGTGGAGTGGTGCCCCACTTGAGTACCTTGTGGCTCATTGGTCCTCGCCCTTCCTAGGGGCTTGGGCCTTCCCTTTGGGAGAGAAGTGGGGGCGTAGAGGTACCCATACCGGGCCGTTAGGCCATGGTGTTTCGCCCCGACGTCCCGAAGCAAGTGTTGCACCCAAGGCTTGGGATTTAGAGGGTCCCATGATCAAGTCTTGTGGTACCAAGGGGTGTTAGGAATCTGGAGGTTTGGTGTGCTTGGTTGCTTGTGCCTGCGGGGAGTGTAGCCGAACCTTAAGTCCAGTCTAACTCGGGGAGGGGGATTGGGAGAGATTTGGGATTTTGTAGATGGATGGCTAACACTCCGTTGCTCATGCAGTGAGTAGCTGAAACCAAGTAGAACCAAGTAGGAGCTGGTACCATGGGCGAGAACCTTGGCGAGGGAACTTAGCACAAGCCAAGGCAGAGTTGGCCAGATAAACGAGGTAAGCTGGCAAATTAGAAAGGAAAAATTTGTGGCTTACACAACGCTCGCAACGGTGCAGTGCGATCAAAAAGATGATCCACAAAATGACCGAGATACTGCACCTTGCCCAAAAAGCGCTGCACATCATTCACACACTTCGGAGTAGGGAACTTTAGAACAGCCACAAGTTTGTTATGATCAACTTGCAAACCCTCACGAGAAATACGGTACACAAGATAAGTTGTGTCCTTGGACCCAAACATGCACTTCGACTGCTTCAGCTTTAAACCAACATCGCGTAGCTGATCCAACACTTTACAAACATCATAAATGTGGTCCTCCCACGTCCCCTCCGAGTGGATCAAGACATCATCAATGAATTCAGTAGTCACCTTTGGCATATCGCAAAGAACCTCATACATCATCCGCTAGAAAGTTGTTAGAGTATTGTTCAAACCAAACAACATCACCAAGAAGTCATACAAACCAAATGGTGTATGAAAAGCAGTCTTAGGAATATCTACTTCGGCCATTGGTACTTGCCAGTACCCAGAAGCAAAATCGAGCTTGGTGAACCAGCGACTTCGCCCCAGACGATCCAAGAGATTAGCAGTGTGAGGAATAGGGTATACATCTGGGATCGTCACTTAGTTTAACGGACAATAGTCGATACAGAAATGAATACTCCCATCAGGCTTTGTCACAAGATGAGGTTCAAATGCCCAAGGACCCAAGGAGATCAAGATTTTACGGGCAAATATCCAAGAGATGTTGGAGAAGGGTGTTATTCAAAAGTCGCGGAGTGACTGAAGACGAACGGGAACCTTGATTGGACAAGCATCCTTGGTTGGAATTGGATGACGTGTGGCAATCTTGGCCCCAGATGATAAGTCAAATTCAAAGAGATCAGAATACTCCTTCATGAGTCAGTCCACCGCTACAACACAAATATCGTCGGAGGGATCGGAAAAGGGAAGAGTAGAATAAGATGGAAACATAGGAGGAAATAGTGGGGAAACAAAAGTAATGGAAGCAGAGGTAGAAGTAAAGGGACGAAAAGGTACGGAAGTGAGAGGAATGGATGAAACATAAGAAAGTATGAGACAAAGAGGAGAAGCCTCAAAATCACACTTGGTATGATTGTGCTGCAACCAATCTATACCAAGAATGAGGTCAAAAGCTTGACTCGGCACCACCTGCAACGACTACAACTCAAGCTCGAGATCGCCTACATGCACAACCAGGTCCACCTCATCTTATGCACATGCATGTGTACGGCCGTTGCCATAAAGAATGAAAATCGGATCTGCCACATGACGCAAGTGTAGATGACAACTTGTGGCAACAGGTCGAGCAATAGAAGATAAACTCGAACCTATATCAACCAACACGGAGAGAATAATAGCAGACCTCTTGTTATAAAAATGAGCTTGGAAAGTAAACACTGAATGAACCAGTGCCGAGTGAACCCCTTGATGATACTTCCGAAAGAAAGATGGAGGGGTCACTAACTTATTCGCATAAGGTCCCTCCGTTACTCATGCGACTCCTCATTTCCTAGATGTATCGCAGTGTTCAAACTGTCCACTGCAGCAGCACCAACGGGACGTTGCTAATGCCAAAGTCTCCACCTAGGAAATGGAGGTCGCCAATCCGGAAAACGCCGATAATGCCAATAAGTATGATCAACTTCATCACATGCCCAACAGCGAACATCACGGCCACGACCACTTCCTCGCCCTTGTCCTTGGACTCAAGCAGCAACAGCATCAACCTCCATTGTGTAAGCAACTAAAGAGAACGACCTTAAAGACGGTCCATGGGGTTTAAATATAGAGGGAAAGGGCCCATGAATAAGAGTGCACCCCCTTTTCCAATCGGTTAAGGGTCTTGGGATATCTGGGGTTAAGTGTCCTTGGGTTTGAATAGTACTGGGTTGGGTGACCTCCCGAGAAGTCCAAACTCAAGAGCTTACATTTGGTATCAGAACGGTCTCGGGTCTGACTCTGTTGGTTGGCTAAGGGAATTGCACCACATGTTGATTGACATTGATTGACATCTGGCTGGTCCAGTTTGCTCCCGCTGGGCTCGACCCGAGGGGTAGGGTGTCAAGAGAGCAGGGCTCGAGAGAGAGCTGCGGCTCTCAACTTCCATTCACGAGGGCGTGAACTTGTAGGGAAGCGTGGTGGATTGTAAGCAACCAAAGAGAACGACTTGAGAGATGGTCTATAGGGTTCAAATATAGAGGGAAAGGGCCTATGAATAAGAGTGCACCCCCTTTTCCAATTGGTTAAGAGTCTTAGGATATTTGGGGTTAAGTGTCCTTGGGTTTGAATAGTACTAGATTGGGTGACCTCCCGAGAAGTCTAAACTCAGGAGCTTACACATTGAAACAGGACCACCATCTATAGGAAGTGGAGCTAAAGGACGTGCAGCGAGAAGTGGAAGAGGTGACGTCTTATAACGTTGTGCCAAGCGAAGAGCATTGTCAAGGGTGGCAGGAGCAAGTGCATGCACAAGTCCGACAAGATCTTGACGAAGTGCTAGCCACAACATTCCTAGTTTGATCCGCTCCGACATATTTGGATCCGCACAAAGCAAAAGACTTCGGAAATGAATGCCAAATTGCATCACTATCTCAGATGGCCCTTGGCGAAGACGATGCAATTGTTGAAAGGCATCATCATAGTCATCGGCATGTCCGAAGGCGCGTTTAAAGACATCTAGGAGAACACTCTAATCTCCACGAGTGGTTGCACTCAAACCATTGTACCATTACAATGCCGTCCCTTGGAGACATGTGGGAAACTCACATAAACATCGAGCATCATCCCAAAAATGATATGTGGCAATCACTGTGAAGTGATTGAACCAATGGTACACATCATCCCTAGGATTCCCATGAAAGAACTTTAGCAGAACGTGAGGATTGGCACGAAGAGCAAGAAGAGTTGGACCACGTGCCGTGAATGCCACCATCAATTGAGTTTAATTGTTCAATTGCAAGTGCATAGCATCAAGCAATTGTACCAACTACTACTCTAGAGTTAAAGGAGGAGATTACTGATTTGCCATGAAGACGAATGAAAAAGAAAGAGCAAAAAAAGAGAAATGACAAAAAGCTAGAAAGAAATGGTAGATCTAGACAATGCAAAAAGCTATCCAAACCAAAATCCTAAAAGGAAAGAACAAAAGAAAGGAAATGGAAAAACCTAGATCTAGACGATGCAAAAGATAAATCTAAACCAAAATTCTAAATCCAAACACTCCTTAGGGACAATTAAAAGTGCCCCTCATCTCCACCAATGTGAATGTTTGGAATATAGAAAGGGAATATAGAAATGTGCATATAAATTAGCCCAAAAACCCTAATTTATATACAAGAACGAGTAATCTTGATTGAAACCAATTTAACAGCTACTAAAATCCCACTATGCTAATATTAATATATGATATTATAGCTGTACACTTGGCCCTCACAAATTTATTTTAATAAAAACACTTTCCTCTTTAGTTTCTCCATGGATGGTATTTAGGTTCTCACCAAAATAAGAAGGATTCAATATTTTTAATTAGGACCACCATTCACTAGTTACATGTCCCCTGTGTTTGAATTTTTGGTGCACGAAACCAAACATTAGATGCTTACATTCTGCTATAAAATGGGTTGCTCCTAGAGTGTTAGCGACCAGCAGTTTTGAAATGGCTCATACCAGTGCTCTAATCTTCCTGACTTCTTTCATTGCCTTCGCTGCAAGCGTTGCAGTGGCACAAACTCCAACTCCTCCTCCTCCAGCCACTCCTCCTCCAGCCACTCCTCCTCCAGGCACTAGACCCCCTCCAGGCACTCCACCCCCTCCAGCCACTCCTCCTCCAGGCACTCCACCCCCTCCAGCCACTCCAGCCACTCCAGGATGCTTCCCAGGTAGGGTTCATATGAATTCACGTTTTTTTCTTTCATACAATTTTCAAGCTATTATAGGAGATGCAACTGTTCAGATGTATAATGGAGAAATTAAGTTCGTGAGGGAGCTTAATGTTGGAGACAAGGTTGAATACTTTCACATAAATCTTGTCCAAGTATAACTTTTCCACAGGTTGCAGTGGGGAAGAATATCTATTCAGATGTGTATGCCTTCGGCCACAAGGATGCTGATGCCATGTCCAAGTTTTTCCAAGTGCACAGCGCTTCAAACATGTTGGAACTCACTGCAGGCCACTTTGTTCCCGTTGCTGTCAATGGGAAGCTCGTGTACAAGAGAGCCGAGGACCTCAAGGTTGGAGATTCCCTGTGGGAATCATCTCAAATCATTGGTAAGGAAAGCAAAAAGCATATATATTGGTGGGATGTTTCGAATTTAACGATTCTGTGCTACTTTTCCAGAAATACAAAAGGTTGAGAAGGTAGGCCTCTACAACCCGCTCACTCTCTCCGGCAGCATCATGGTGAACAATGTTCTAGCATCGACTCACAGCGAGTGGTTCTTGGACTCCATATTTGATGCTGTCGGCGCAACCGAGTACCTGCCATACGCATACCAGGCCGTGCTTGCTCCAGTTCGCGCCATCTACAATATCGTCGGCAAGGAAATCTACGCAAAGGGCTATGCTGCCATCGATTCCTTCACCAACATTGCTGAGTTTGGAAGGAAGTATGGAGGAAGCGTTGCTCTCACCTTTGGAGTTGCTGGTCTTGTGCTGGCCTCCAAGGTGTGAACAATTTTGGCAAGAATAAAATTTGGATATTACATACAAACGTCTAGTGCACAGACAATTATTAGGTACCTCTCACACCTGAAGCAAGAATCGTACCAGTAGACCAAATGCCCACTACACACATTTGTTTTGTTTTGCTAAAACACTAAAGCTGGCATTTTATGGAAATGCCCGGTGTATCACATTGGCCAATTTAGAATAATTTTAATGATTAAGGAAATTATTATAAATTACAATGGAGGCATGAGACCCACCCACTCAGTCTTCTCTTGACTTCCAGCTCCCGAAATTCCTCCCGTATCTAAATTATGTTCCTTGCCACTTGAAGCTATTGCCACCAATGGTATCTATTAGGTTTAAAATGCATGTTTTAATTTGCCTCCACCCCTGGCACATACAGGATTGAGACTTATATATTTGAAAACAATACAGTTACATGGTACCCTAGCTAAGCATCCAAATAAAAAAGAAGAGCAAAGTTATTGATGATCTATTGCTCAAGACGACATCTAAAGGACCCTTTTGACTGTGTGTCTGTGAAGACGTAATTCTGTGGAATGATTGTCTCGAATTGGTGCGCACAGTTTGGAAATTCTCGGAAGAGCTCAAGGAGCTCTAATTTAGTCAATGGAGTTCTGTAGTTTAATATGTCTAATCTATTTGTGACCAATAAAGGTAGCTTGAAAATAGAGATTTTCAAGGCAATTTCGGTAACATAGACTATCTCATTAGCCAGTTCTAAATATTTAATTATTAATATTAAATTTGATTACAAACTAGTTAAAGGCCTGATTTTTTAAATTCCAAAAACTATCTGCTGCTTGTTAAAGCAAAATTACAATTCTCTTTTCTTTTCTTTTTTCTGGTAGTTCTAGAAAATGCTTGAATATTCTACTATCTAATGGTTGTTAATCATTTATATTAATGTATAATTTATAATTTATACACTTTCCTAAACGCTTTCTAGTATATTCTTTTTTACATTGATTTCTTCCTGTCCTGCTCGATAGTTTTCTAACGGGAGCATCTTCTATATGCCACGACGTTTTGGAAGTGTCCGAGGATGACTACGACCGATGCTCCAGCGCCTCACCGATCCAATCTTTCAACAACGGTGACACTTCGATCGCAATGACCAGGCCCGGATCATGGTACTTCTTCCGCGGCTTTCCAAATCACTGCCCCAAAATGCATCGCTCACAGGCAGCGGCACCACTCCGCCATCGTCAAGCTCCAGCTCCAGCAGCGCCGCCGGCAGTAGCATCTCGAGAAAAGATTTGGAAACTTTCACGGCAGCAGCAGCAATAGCAGGAATTTCGACCTTGCTCTTTATCGTTTCAATGATCTAAGCTTCTAAAGATTTTACTAATTCTAATCTTCAATCATCTTGAAGATTAAGTTGGGAGCAAGAACCACTGAAGATGTTCCTCATTTAAGGAGCGAGACATATTCTTCACAAGGTTGCTCCAACTCTTCCTATACCATCTCCTTGATCGTCGACTGTAGCTGATACAGATCAAACTCTTCCTGCACCAGCTCCTTGATCGTCGACTGGAGCTGATACAGGTCAAACGTGAGTAGGATGTCATGACAGTCTGGAACATCGCTGGAAAGCATACTGAACAGGAACCGCACCAAGAAATCCTCCTTTGTTTCCAAAGTGCAAACGCTAGGACTAAAATCTATAATCTGTGTAGCTTCCTCCTGCACCCACAACAGTTGCAGAGGGTGGCATACGAGATTTGTATCCCGATTGCGAGCTGACAGCCCGAGCGAACCCAGTGTTTAAGTTCCCTGACGAATACCTCAAAAGCCTCGTTCTTGTAGGCCACTTCAAGGACTACTCAAGGGAATGGATGCTTCGGCGAGGCCGTGGAGAAAGAGGCGTCTGGCTCCTTTCTCCCGTTAACAAGCGCAAACCTAGATGATCTCAGGACCCGGACGAAGGAGCGGATGTCCAGCTCGGGGCTCGTGAGCATCAAGTGCCTCTCCACTTGCTGTCCATAACTTGTGGAAGAACCACTGTTTCGTCTCGTCGTGGACGTTACTGGGATCGTCAAATATGTAGACACTGAGCCCTCTTCTCCCTCGAGGAAGGCCGGCCTCCAGCAGTCTTCAAAGTTGGAACTCCATTTCTCAAAGCTAAAGTAGAATACATCGTCTGCCACTAGAAAAGGGCCCTTCCCTGTGCCTGAGCACTCTTTATACGAACTCGCCGCCTTCTCCAGGCCACGATCAATTCGGAGTCGACAGTCAGCCCTTTGAACTTCATCCAGTTTCGGAAGTGGTTTGAGGTCATCAGGGCCCACGCAAGACGTCCGACTTGACATTTCAAAAAACTTGGAGGAGTGGTTTTAATATGCTCAGGAGTTAATTGTAAAGTCAAGTTGCTTGTCACAAAATGTGGCTTGCAAAGTAAGCATAGCCTTCAGTTCCCTGGCATCTCTGGTTTCCTGCCAGCTCTCGACTTCAATCTGAACTTGGATGCTTCTTCCCCATTGGGTGGTACACTCAAATTTTAACAAGTGGCTCAGGGCTGATATTCCACAAATAGTACTGGAATTTTGGTTCATGTTATTCACCTTGGAGCCACCACTAAAAATTTCTATTACATAGAACAATAAGCACGTGTTAATTATTTGTTTGCTGTATCTGTCAGGTTGATGATCACAACTTTGGTTTGATTCTTTTTTGTTGTGGTGAAGTCTTGCAAGATTTTGGAGATTCGTTTTGAACAGAAAGTATCTCCTCACATTGTCAATTATGTGCTATCGAAAAATGATGCATTGGAACTTACTTCTCATGGCAACTGCAAGTAAGAATTCTCAAAAACATTTCTCATTAATGGGTGAAATTCTTTCGAGTAATTTGTTTTTTTTTTTCGACTATCAAAATTTATAGTATCCCATGCATGTTTTGAAAAGACAAGACGTGTCACCTCAATTATATGGTGGCAATTGATTTTCTTACATTCTTTGATTTTCAAAAATCTATATGTTTAGTTCAAAGGTTAAAAATCTCTTTACAGTTTTTGAAAAAACAAAATGCTACAATATATTTTTTATGTTTCATTATTTTATTTATTAAAATATCTATAATGCTTAAATGTAATTCTTTCGTTACATTGTTCATATACATATTCTTAATTATTATTATTTTCATACAAAAAATAGAATGACCAAATTCAATTTTAATTAATCTTTATATAATGCTTTGATATATATATAACCTTAGAGGATGAAACTAAGTCAAATGAAATATCTGATGATTTTCTTGGGTGTAGACAGCTATAAGAACTTGAAGGTCCTATAAAACCATTGATATAATAGTTGACAACTATAATAAAAACCTAAATCTATAATATGGAACTAAAGCTAAGACATTAGGGCCACTGTACTCCATAAAACACTATATAGCAAATGATAAACTTATTTCTGCGTCTTCCCTCTGTTTAACTTCCAAGATCAATATTAACTCAGACTTATAACTAATAATAAAATATAAAAGGTTTGGTTTTTGACTTCGTTTAGGCACATTAGAGGTCAGATTCATCATATCCTCTCCACAAAGGAAAAAAAACTTTGAGAATAAGAAAACTCTTTAACAATAACAATGAAATAAAAACTTTCAATAGCACTCACAAACAAAGGAATCATCGAAAATTCATTCAATTCAAAATATTAGAAAAATTTGCCATGTGTTGCATGTAGTAATGCTTGGTTTGTTTAATAGTAGTATTATTTTTATTTATGAATCTAATTGATCAAATAAAAGTTTATAATATACAAAAACAAGATTAATCTTATTGCATATCAACCATTAGATGGTAGAATGAAAAAGAATATACTAGAAAGTGTTTAACCAAGTTTATAAATTATAAACATGTTTATAAATTATAAATATATTTATAAATTATAAATACAAGATTAATCTAAATGAATAATAACCGTTAAATGGTAGAATATTCTAGCATATTCTAGGTTTATTGACTACCATCACAAACCACAAAGTAACTTAACCTTAGGAAACATAAGAATACTTAAAACTAAACTCCAAATGAACAATCAATAATTCTGCATAAGATATAATGCAAAATCTCAGTGAGACATACAATTTTAAAATTCAAATCAATTTGAAGAGTATAATAAACACTGAACTGAATTAAGAATAAAACTTATAAGAGTCAGAAGTAATTAACATGTCAAAAGAAGAAAATACTATAGATGAGAGGGGAAATAAAGCAAAAATGTTATGATGTAAAAAAGGGTAAAAAAAGAGCAGAAGACTAAGAGAAATGGTTATATTTCAAATTTTAAAGATTACCTATCTTATGAAATCTCCAACTCATTTTCAAGTTATCTGTAAAGTTATTCTTGAAATAATGAAATTCCTCATCATTAGAAATCCACTTAAACTTCTAAACATCATCCTGACTCAATACTTAATCATCCTCCAAGAACCAAATTATATAATCCATAACTCTTTAATTGAAATTATGCTCTATAACAATAAAGATAGCAACACACCAAGAATATCAAAACTCTATAATTTAAATGCCATAAAAAATCAAGAACAACACATCAAAGGGTGTAACACCAACAAAATCAAGCCCAATAGCAATAAAGCTCAATCTGGAGAAAACAAAGTAGGAGGAATAATGTTGTTGGATCAAAACATTAACACATCATCAATAACCTTCAATAATACACTGTTCAATCTAGTATAAGGTGGCATGATAAAAAAAGCAAATGTAATGAAAGCTTGAAAAGAAGACAAAAATAGAGAAGTTGTAAATGACTGGTGGTCTCACTCCATTTGAGATTCTAAGAATTAGAGTATTATTAGTGCATTAGCTCTATAATATCAATTATCTAGACAATATGGAAAAGCTAAATTTCATGGAAAGAACGGGAGAATAAATTAAGTAGAAAAATCTTGAATACAGCCAAGGATCTTGTCAAAAAGTTTTATCCCTCACTTCCACTTATGTGGGGATATAAAAATATTAAAAAGCCTGAGAAAGAGTAATTTCATAATCATTGTCAAGAATATCAATCAGCATATCAAATTTTTATCACATGTTGCCACCTTTAACAAAATAATTGTGTTGATCCTTAAATTTTCTAAACTAGTCTTCCTCCATGACTATTGATACAAATACAGTCTATACATATATGTATATATAGACTTTACATATATAATTTTTTAAGAAAATAAAATTTTTAATTAGTACTTCAAATTTTTTATTATAGCAAATATGACAATTAATTAATTATAATAATACATTACTTTATAATTTATATTTATTCTACCAAAGAACCAAAAATGTTCCTATTGTAATCTCAGCAAGTAGCACAACTAGTTTCATCATTTGTAGGTTTATATGGTTTATATAAAATAATAAAATTATTATATTTAAGATTATATATTTAATATAGTGTATCTGAAAAATGGATTATAAAAAATATTTATGACATAAAATAGTAATGAAAAACATATTAAAAAATCATATATTATAACTTAAATTTGTTTTCTTTGTAGTTATGTTTAACAATTTAACTGATATAGTACTATAAATTAGAAAATATATATTAATATAATTTTATCTCAAAGAGTTTTTGATAATGTAATTGATAAAATAAAATAACAATATATATACTTCATATGTATAATAAACTCTTTTTTCATTCAAAATTTATATACTTCACTCAATTGGTAAACATTATTTGAATAAAAATTATTGAGACAGATAATTAGGATCATAAATGTGAGAATATATTTATATATATATATATATATAGTGATATATTATCTATTTTTGAGTTGTGAATTATTAGAATTTGTGATTAAATTTTTTTATTTTTATATTAAGAACTTTTATTTAACTTTTTTTTTGAATTAAAATATTTTTTTTGATGCAAATCAAAACAAAAGCTTTATTTTGCTTTCCAAATTGTTTCATCAGAGAAAAGACACTAAAATGTTTAGCATTTTAACTAGAACTTCAAAATCTGATGTAAATGCAGCAAACTATATTTTTCTTTAAAAACTTTCCTCCACATGGTGAGTTGCAAGTTTTCCTGTTTTCTGGGGCCAGCTGAACCATGAATTCGCGTCAGAACTTTGGAACTTCTTGGTGTGTGAGGCTGAAGATGATCATCAACCATGAAGAAGCAGCAGTCACACTTGACAGTAACCGCCACCGTGACGAACGAGAATCCCACCATCAATTCACCACTGTGGGAATTGATGGTGGTGG